GCAGGAAGTGGAATCTGGCCATACACAGTCACCACTACTAATGAATCTGTCTGGTGCCAATCATGGCGGCAAGATGTTGGCAGCTGAAGAGAAGATGTGAAATGCAGGTGGTAAGAATAAACTCTTGGCCGGGCGCGGTGGCTCATGCCTGTAATCCTAGCACTCTGGGAGGCCGAGGCGGGAGGATTGCTCAAGGTCAGGAGTTTGAAACCAGCCTGAGCAAGACCGAGACCCCGTCTCTATTATAAATAGAAAGAAATTAATTGGCCAACCAATATATAGAGAAAAAATTAGCCGGGCATGGTGGCGCATGCCTGTAGACCCAGCTACTCGGGAGGCTGAGGCAGGAGGATCACTTTGAGCCCAGGAGTTTGAGGTTGCTGTGAGCTAGGCTGACGCCACGGTACTCACTCTAGCCTAGGCAACAAAGCAAGACTCTGTCTCAAAAAAAAAAAAGAATAAACTCTTAACCCAAGGAGAATTGCCATGGTATATGTGGAGAGGAGAGAGTCTCAGAAAGGTTAACACACACCTCATATTCAAAGCCTCCAGACTGTTCAGAGACAAGGAGCCGAATTTTATTTGGTTTGTACTAAGGGGAGAATATAGGGAGCTTGGCCATGAAGTACAGGGAGAATTTATCTCTAAGATTGGGTTCTAATCAAGATTTCAGGAAAGTTGGGGCTTACCTGCTTCCCCCAGTCATGTCTACCAACTCTGCATCCTGGCTGTGCCAGGAATGCCCCAAAATCCAGGGTCTGGATGCCACAACAGCTCCAAGATTTCATCCTGAGGTAAGGAAGACAATTCAACTGAATTCCCTCCCCCCACAACCCCATCTTGTGACCGATATTGGGAGAAACCCATTTCACAGCCCACTCAGTCCCCTCCCTCACCCCTCATGGAATCGAGGTGCTCCTGGGTGGTAGGTACATGGAGTAGCATCACTCTCAGGGCCTTGGTAAACCTAAGAAGGACAAAGGAGAATCAGGAAAATAATCAGGTAATTCTAAGGTATACCCCACCCAGCCTCATATCTATACTCAGTCATCTCTCATGTGTAGCATCGCTCAGCCACATCATGCTTCAGCCCCTGAAAACTCTCACTCACAGCATCACATCCTGGGTTCTGGCAGCTGGAACCAGTCCGGATCAGACCAGTGTCAAGTCCTGGGCAAGGGAAACAGAGTCAGGAACCTATCCATCACCCCTACCCAATTGTCACTTCTACTAAATTCCAGTCTGTAAGTCTGTCTTACTAAAGATCCACCTACCTGCCCCAGGTTCCTGGTCTAGTTCCTTCTGTTCCAGTGCCATTTCCAGGGCTTGGGATATATTTAGTGGCAGCAGCTTTGGGGGCAACTCCGACCTAGGGGTTATGGGTGGTTGATTTAGTTCTGACCTATTAATCATGATTTCCAACTCCAGCACTCTCACCCATGGTAATGGAATTGAAATCTGGTGAAAGTGAGGCAAGGTTGGAGAATTTGGGTAGTAACCCATTGCCAATTTTCATCTCTATGGACATCCCAAATTCCTGAGCCCTGGGGGAAATCGCCAGTGCTTTTTGCACTTTTACTCAGTTGCTCTAAATCTAACCACGTTTCTCTGCAGAACTGTGTCATTTTTTCTTTAACTGTGGACCTAATATGACTTTATTCTGCTGCTTGTATTATTCCCACAAAATTTATTCTCCGCAGCCTCCTGGCTGCCAAATAACACATCCTTTTCTTTTTTTTTTTTTTTCTTTTCTTGGAGTAAACTGGTACCAAGACATCCTTTTCTTGATATAAGATTTACCTTAAAGGTCTTTCCCAGAAAGAAATAAAATCAAGTCATTCTCAACAATTCCCCTTGTATTATACCCTAAATATGTATTTGTGAGGGGCTATCTATTCTATTGATTCAAGTATCTATTCCAGCATACCACTTCAGAGCAAAGGATATTATTTCCAGATACAAATTTCCCCTAAGGCACAGGATAGACAACATTCAAACCCTGAACGCCTGGCCCTCCTTACATCTCTGGTCCCTAGTTCCCAAATCCCAGGGACCCATTAATCACTCCTAAGAAGCTGCATGAAAGTAGGAAAAACCTAGGGGCCTCCTCTTTACTTGGGCCTTTCCCGGCGCAAGGTCTCTGCTGACTTTGGAATCAAGTTCAGAGGTTTTTGCTCCTGAAGAGAACTGCTCGTAACAGGGCCCTCAGGTTGAGGGGCCTCAGGAAGCTTCTCAGCACAGTGTGGTCCCATAGTACAGCCCTAGTGCAGATAAGGAAATAAAGATTAGGAACAGAATCCTTCTATTGGGGCAGAATCCAAGGAAGTAAAGGATTTACCTTGATGTTTAAGAACTCAGAGAAATCTACAGTTCGCTTTCGGCAGCAGGACCAACCCTGATAACAAGAGACCCAGATCAGCTTAGCTTCCTGGGTGTATCTCCTTTGGGAAATGCTCTTGCTATCCCCCTCACCTACTCCTCACCTTAAGTGCATCATGGAAGATTGGGACCCCAGGGTGATGGCAACAGGAATCTGTGGATACCAGAAGTATCAAGGAAAGAAGGAAAGAAAGATAACCATTCCAAATATCATTTCTCACGTCTTCCCCAGGTTTATGTTTATGGTTTCTTTCCATAAAATGTAAAAAAAAAAATCACCAAAGGTTAAAGATCACACAGACTAATTAAACTAGGGCAGGTATGCAAAGTTTCTTTCTCTGGTCCTTAAACAGACTACCTCACAGCTGACCGCCCCCCACCACCACAGAGCCCTTGGCTCCATCAGGATTTACTCACCAGGAAGATTGGTATTGGGGTCAAAGTGCTGCCCACAGCCTTTGTTATGGCAGAGTAGAGACATGGAAGCGTTTGTAAAATTACTAAAAGGGTATTTCAAGGAGTCTGGCTGCCGAGTGGGAAACACCTATTAGTCTGGAGGCTTTTAGCTGCCTGGAAGGGCCAGCTGTTTCTATCTTTAGTTCAGGAGGCGTACACCTCCTAACATGGGCAAGGGAACTTCAATTGGTCTTTCCAGCCAATAGGAAAGAGCTCATGAGCATTTCAGCTCTGAGGCTGAGGGAAGAAGGATCATGCAGAGTAGGGCTTGGAACTTGGGTGAGGTCAGCTCACCACTGCTGAGACAGTTTTAGATTCACCATGCCAATTCCAAGCCTCTGACATACCAGCAGCTGCTCAGAAAGGAATACTTTGAGGATCCCCCCCCCCAGCTCAATTAGAGTTGAATCCATTTTCTTTTCAAAGGAAAAGATTTCCTCCATGGTCAGAAGTAAAAAAAAAAAAAAAAAAAAAAAAAGATTTCCTCCATCCTCATTATTTCCATGTAGTGTCAACAGCACTGATCCTTGTCAACCACTTCAGCCATAATACGCATCTCACCCCCACCTCCTATGTTTGCCTAGTTGATTACTTTAATCAAAAGGCCATAAAGGATTACCCTTATAGAGCCTACTGCTCGTCTCCTAAGAACTCCCCTCCCTTCTTTTCCCTCCAAAAACAGCACAGAAAATTAAAAGGCTTAAAATGTATTTTAATAAGTTGATGCTGCATTACTGCTCCATTTCTCAGAAAAACTTCAAATTTAAGGTATCAGGGACAAATCAAACATGGTACACCAATAAAAAATGCACAGCATAACTACCTAAGATAGGCAAGGCTAAGAGCTACTGTCAGACTTTCAGCATACAGCAACCCTGTTCCCAAGATTGTACTAGGCCTATCAAGAAAAGCTGTGAACAGCAACATCATAGACACAAAAGGGCCATTCCTGGGTCATCTTTACCCAAGAAAAGGATGGAGGCAAGTTAACACCAGATTTTTTTTTAAAGATATACTAAAATGAAAATCTCTAAGAGAAAATGTCTTCCTTAAAGACATTAAGGGTAATATATGGGATATAACAGAACCGTATGTACGCTGTCTGTGACCTCTGTGGACATTTGCCTGAATTCTCACCTGGGAGTAAATGGAGCAATGGGCTAAGGTCATTGGGGGATTTTGTGGTGGCATGTGGCAGTGTCTCTGGGATAGGGGGTGTAAGGATAAGAAAACAAAACAGGATGGACAAAAACCGGAATGATCAAGATTAATAGGGCTCTAACTGGATCCATTTTGCCATGGTTCCCCCAGGCCCTCAACAATCACATTTGAGACTTCAGGAATGCACCACATAGAACTGATTAAACAACATACCACACAGAACTGATTTGTTAAATACCACCCCTCCCTTGCCCTCTGCCTCCAGCATACTCCCTAGAGTAGTACAGGCAGGGTAGACCTAACTATTAGGAGGAATCCCTAACACTTTTCCAGGGTAGAATTCTGGCTAGTCCAAAAAGGGTCCTTCTTTTAAGGGTTTTGAGAAACTAGACACTGCAACTTTATTAGTATCGGCGACGTTTGTTTGGAGCAAATTCAGCTCCAGGAGCTGCACGGTTGAATGCAGGAGGAGTTCCACCAATTGCCCCAATTCCCTCCATTGTAGCAGCTTGGCCAAAGCGTTCAGTTGTTGGTGGGGTCTTAAAGAGAAAAAGAGAGCAACATTATAACAGAATATTTGTTCTAAGCTTCCCACCCATTTGTAGTCCCTCCACTGGGGACAATCGTTTCTACCCAACTAGTCAAGGCTCCTGATGCTAGGGGAAGGTGAGCAAGTCTTTTTTTATTGAGACAGAGTCTCACTGTGTTGCCCAGGCTAGAGTGAGTGCTGTGGTGTCAGCTTAGCTCACAGCAACCTCAAACTCCTGGGCTCAAGCAATCCTTCTGCCTCAGCCTCCCGAGTAGCTGGGACTACAGGCATGCACCACCATACCGGCTAACTTTTCTATAATATTAGTTGGCCAGTTATATTCTTTCTATTTATAGTAGAGACGGGTCCTGCTCTTGCTCAGGCTGGTTTCAAACTCTGACCTCGAGCAATCCACCCGCCTCGGCCTCCCAGAATGCTAGGATTACAGGCGTGAGCCACCACGCCCGGCCAGGTGAGCAAGTCTTAAGAATTCCAGTGGACAACCCTGAAAGGAAGTATTTGAATCAGGACTTACCCAATCATCCCACCTTTAACTTTTTCATCCACATTCTTCACTACTGACTAAACAACGTCACATACAGTACTAAATTCCTACTTTGTTTAAGTTCTAGCTAAGTCCTTTTTCCTGAGCTAGGTATCTAGACAAGGCAGTCATGACTCTTCAGCAACCTTAAGCCTATCCAGTTTTGGTACTATCCATTTTGACACAAGAACCAAAACAACCCAGGACTGTTATGAGCCATGAAGCCTTTGATTAGCATCTATTTTTTTGTATAATGCCTAGACTTCATTACATTCCTTCAAAAAACCAACCTGTTACTACCAAGTAGCAACTTTATAGTCATCAGACTGGTGGTCAGACAGGCATGCTTAACCCTTAAAGTATATTAGAGACTGAGTTTGCTCAAGATTCAAAATAAGATCTTGAGTTACATTTAATGATATTAGTGGTCCTAAAGACCGAGATCTGTAGCAAAACGAGTAGGCCCAAGGTCTGTGAAGGCAAAGCCCCTTTCTCCTCCCACCATTTACAATTACTAGGCCCTGCAGCTAATTACCAATCCCAAGGTTCCATCCGGCATCATAGTGGCAGGTCCTGGAGGAGCTGGGGTACCAGCCGGCACAGGAGCAGGGGGCATGGCACCTCTGTTGTTTATGCCCATAGCACCTAAAGCAGAGGAATATGATCGGTACAGGGGATAGAGATTGTTAGTCTCTTTCTATACCAAATAAAACAATTCAATAATACCTCTAGGCTAAGACATGTATGTCACCCCCTAAAAACAATGCTCCTGGAAATTTCAGTCCCTTAAAGTTGGACTAGGTAGGAGAAGCTACATAGTTCACCAGAGACCAGACAAAAAAGGGAATCAAAGCCATTAACCCCCTAAGTCCTTACCTCCCATGGCCATCTGGCCCATCCGTATCTCCTGTTCTCTCTGAAAAATAAAAAATACTTGAGACAGTCCCAGACAGCAGTGTATCTTATCACAATTCATCAAGGACCACGCACGATGGGAAGCAGAGTGATTATATATCCCAAGAGCACTGCGACTAAGCTGAGGAACACCAACAGCTCAAGTTCAAGGTCACAGAGCTACTAGGACACAAACCAGAGTACTAGGAACAGAAAGAGAGGTAAAAGGAAGGGGGAAAGATATTTGACTTCTTCTAGGGTTCTAACTTGTACAACTGCAAGGACGGCAGACTGGCCAAGGCTGCTATAGGACTCAGTATATCTCGTCCTATAGTCACCGAGTCTTAACAGCATACAGTGCTCCAGCTTTTTCATCCTAAGATGCCTGTGAGGTGAGAAGAGCTCCCCACTTTACCTCTCCCTCCTATGAATTTTTTTTTCTAAAAGGAATTTCACAGCACAGAAAAATTGGTCATAACCTGGTGTACTAGCAGACAATTCATGGTGAGTTTGTCATATCACAACTGGCCTAGTACATTACGGGCACATGGGAGATATACCGCATCAGGGAAGGTTCCCTTGAATCCTTCCTGCTGTCGCCGCATCATTTCTTCCTGTTGCCTCCGCATCTCTTCCTCACGGCGCCTGCGCTCCTCCTCCTGTCTATAGAGTCACCATGGTATTTAAGACAGGCATTCTAGAACTTGAGCAGATTATCTCAAAAGGGGACTCAGCCAAGGAGACCAGCCTACTGAAAACTACCACAGCACACCAGGAGACTCCCAGCCCTAAGGCAACTCCTAAAGGAACCTCAAGAGACCAGCACGCAGAGGCTTTCTTTTTAGTGCAGCCCCAGGTAATAATTCCTAGAACCACGGGTAGCTAATATATCCCCCATGCAAAAGGAGAACCTGAGAAGCAGCCAGCAAATACTTGCCAAAACATATTTACAAATGCATGAGGTAGCATGGTGGGGTAAGAAATAGGAGCAAGACATTACCTTTTAGAGTTGTCAGAGGAAGAAGGTTCAAGAAAAAAAGTTACCTGAGCTCCAGTTGCTTTCGTTTTTGCACCTCTTGGTTGTGCAGCTCTTCCATCCTCCGAAGTTCTTCTTGGCGCCTCATTAAATCTAGAAAAATAACAGACTGATTGAAAACGTTCCTCATTCTCTTCATATAGACCCGATAACCTTTCATAAAAAAAGACACAGAGGATATAATCCCTGAGGGGCCTTCCAAGGTGTCCAGATTCCAAAATTGAAGCCAAATGTACCATTTCCTTCTCTACAGAATCAATATTTGAAAGACCAGCCTTGCAGAAGCAATAGGAAAATACCTAATAATGCAGTTTCCTAACAACATCTAAAGATCAATCATGAGCTCTCCTTACTGTTATTTCTCCCCCAAGCTAGCAGGTACCCTGTAGGGACTCTGTTTTCGCAAACATCAGAAAAGAGCCAAAAGACAGAAAGGAAATGTACATTTGCCAGAATCTGCTTTTAAAATTTGTTTTACAGCCTCAAGGTGTTCCTGAGAAACTCCAGGACTGACAGCAGGGGGGCAAACTCCAGGCCTTAGTTTCCTGCCCCAAACCATAACTTAGGGGCTAAATTGCATCCCCTGAGAATAAGCCTGACTACACATTTCAGAGATAACCAAGTCTCAAGGAACAGAGAAAACAAGACAGACCTGACTTCTGGCAGCTGTCTGCTTATTACTCCACAATGATTACTATTTTTTTTCTCTTTGTCCCCATAAACTGGCATCTCCCTTCTCTTTCTTTGGAATGTCATCCGCTCTCCCTACTCTCTTTCTTTCCCCTCTCTTTTTCACTCTCTCTCCCCCTTCCCTCCTCTAAAAGGATCAAAGTAATTCTTTTACTTTCATATCTTAATTTCTGTGTGAGAAATCTTTCTCTACCTGTGCCAAAAGCACCTACTAGGTTTTCCACCCTAACATTTGGTGGCTCGCAAGGGGACTTTTCTCTACCTCCACATGGGGAGAACTTCCCCCCCCAATGAGGGACTGTCTCATTCTCTCACTTTTGTCTACCTCTGGACAGGAAGCTGCTTCAGTCTTTTTTATTTTCCTATAGATAACATTGCTATTGTAGGCTTTAGTGTTGAAGCTGCTCCCTCCTCTGTATTTCCACCCTAACATTGCTATCATAGGCTTTAGTCTTGAAGCTCCTCCCTCCTCTGTATTTCCACCCTAACAGTATTCTCTGCTACATCTCCAAGCCTATTTGCCTACCAAGATCAACAAAATA